GGTATATTGGAACTAGAAACCCCGTTATGAGGGTCTTTTAAAACTGTAGGGGCAAAATGCTAAGGGATATTTGAAAGGGAACAATTCTGTGAAGGTAAGTTGAAGGACAAGGTTTTTATGTCCATATTATGTGCAGCAGTTGATGTTTTTTTCTGTACTGTTTTGATAACTTAAGTGTGGCTTGGTACCATCCAATTTCAGAGTTATTGCTGACTCAGTCACTTTATATTGCTTTGCAGAAGGGAACAAATGCAGTTTCTAACTGTTTGGTTTCCCCTGGCATCCAGCTGCAGTGTTTGATACGTCCCATCCCCCAGGTTAACAAGCCAAAGACATTGCTCTTCAACCACAAAAATACGAATCTCTCTCTGAGCCAGCCAAGGTTTTAAAGCTTGTTGGGGTGACTGGTAGCATGCTGAACTTGTTGGGTTAGCTGCTACATCTCCTATACCAAATGCCAGCTAAATGACAGAGGATTGGCTCAGGTTGGTAATACTATTAACAAAGCATTAGCTTTCGGAGGTTGATTTTCTTAATAAAGTCAAAAGCAACTTTTTTTTGAAGGTCTGAATGAATGGGGTTCTGTATTAAATATTTATATCCACTTAAGGTTTTTGGAAGAGTGGTTCAATAGGATATTCTTTGAGTGGCCTCTGTACATTTCCAGTTGTGTGATCCAGGTGCTTCACATGTCGTCTGGACTGTTCTAGAGACCTTGGGCCTCTCTCTCTTCACTCCCCTGCTTTTGTACCCTCAAAAAACCTATGCAAGGAGCCAGGAAGTGAGGGGGGGATGAGCAGTCCCAATGAATGCTTACTCTCTAGAAGTCCAGGAGCTAATGTCACAAATGTCTTGATCCCACAGCTGGAATATGCACAGGACAGTCAAATACCACTTATTAGGGAGCAGTGCTCATATCTGTTGATAAACCACTGACTTCAGTAAGCAAGAAGTACATTTTGAGATTGTGGGTGATTTAGCTATGCCTTTTAGGGCTGTGCGAAGCTTTGGTTCCTGATTCGATTTGGCGCCCAAATCTCCGAATCCAAATCAAATCAGGAAACCCTTTAATCTCTCCAAATTGACTCGGAGAGATTCAGAAAGATTTGGACATAGGCACAGCTTTTAAATGTTTTTTTTTCTACATACTTCAAGGTACTAGGCGGCTCGTAAATGTTGTGATGCTGGGGTGCATGGAGTGTCCCACAGGAGTGCAGAGGTCCTGTCCCCCCCATGTGCTTGGTGGTGAGCCCAGAAGTGGACCAGAAATACTTCCAGACCTGCTGGGGAGCATGCTAGGGGCCCTCCCTCTCATGCCCCTACCCAACTTGGCAACTGGTGCCTCCAGTGTCAGGGCAGCGCATGTGGGGTCTCCCCGCAGCCAATCACCAAGCCGGGGGGGGCGGTGCACAGGGTCTGTGTCTCCTCCCCCACACACACACACACACACTCTCTCTCCCAGGCAGACTCGCAAGTGGACCCAAAGTATTTCTGGTCCACTTCTGGGTTTGCCACCGAGCACATGGCAGCGGGTGCGCTCCTGTGGGATGCTCCATTTGCCCCAGCATCACAGCTTTCATGAGCTGTGTCTGATACCTCGACGTATGTAGAAAAAACATTTAAAGTTGTCTATGGCTGAATTGCTGATTCTCCAAATCAGCATCGAATCTTCAGTTTCGGATTCAGACTAATCAAACCAGGGACAGTAATCCAAATCAACTAATCAAATTCCTGTCCCCGATTCAGGCTGAATTCTAATTGAATACAGCCCATTTCACGCACCCCTAATGCCTTTACAATTATTTGCATCTTTTCAGAGTCCTTTAAAGGAGACTAATGCTTATTTTTATCTTGAAGTGATTACTTTAAGAACTGGAATTTATTTTCAGTGCAGCTTTTTCTCGCTTTCTTCTAGAGGCCTTGCTTTTGTAAAGTGTGCTCGTTTCTGAGATGTCAGTTTTGAGAAGATGGCATGATCTTGTGAGAAGTGGAGAAATCCACCCCCTAGTGCACAAATATATTTAAAAGCCATGAACAATGCGTTTCATGCAAGCCCTCCTTTTACATTAGGATGTAACAGTTAAGACTTGTAATCTTTGAGGCTTTACAGGGCTTTGCAGTAAGGGTGGTGTCTTAGCAAGTTTGACCCAGACACATTTTCCTCCTCTGTAAATGCAAGGTGGTCCTAATCCCTAGATCAGCCTTGCCAACTTCAAACTGGTTGTTTAACATGAACATTGTTCCTTTTAAGGACTGAAACAAAAAGCAGTTTTGTTTTGATTAGTTGCTTCTTGTTGATTTAATATAGCCATATCTTAACTTAGTTGCATTGAATTGAGTTGAACACCTCTCTATTTACAGCTCTTAGAGCTGTGCACTAGCTTCAGATCTGTCCTTCTTTTCTGCTCTCCCCATGTACTATTTGGAAAGCTACCTCTGATAGCAGTTTCCAAGGCAAGTCATGCTGTGCAGAGCACTGCCTGTTCCTGTTCAGGCAAATTATGGGGTACTGGAGACAGCTCTTAACCATACTGCGGTCCAGCATGTGGGCTGGATGACTGACTGGGCCTGTTCCACATCAAGCTCTGAATGTGTGACTAGCCTGTAGGTGGAGGGGAGTCCCAGTTCTGTAACTTGTGAGCAAAGCAGCCTTATCTGTACACCACATCCTTGACAAGACTTTGGAGATGTATTTTCTGAACTAAAGTAATATAATATATAATGATTTCTAATTTAACGTACCATATTTACTCTATTTTAAGACAAGGCCCCCCTCCCCCCCATTTAACATGGTGGGGGGAGACCCTTCATTTTAAAATCGAGTTGGACAGCCACTGGTTGATGGTGTGGGATTTTCCCATGCTTCTGGGCTTTGCTGGTTGCCCCAGCCTCCATCTTTCTGCTACATGTATCAGGGTATTTTTAATCCTTCCTCAGAGATATTAGGTGTTGGCTGCAGCCAGGGCTGGGACCTCGACTGGGGTGTGTCAGTACGTCTGCTGGGACCAAAGGTTGAGGCTCTGGGCTAGTGGTTCTTGCCCCCCCAGGGCCTGAGTGATCGCTGTATTTGGAAGGAATTTTACTCTGTGGTTCAGTTGGTTTGGATTGTGGAGGGGGTTGCCTTCCTCTGTAGTATTGGTACTTCAGAGGAACTACTATGGACTGTGGTATGGGGTGGGGAGGTTACCTGGGATCTCCTGAACATAGATTGACAACATTTCATAGAAGCAGGACATTGGCCGCTCTGGTTCCTTGGTTCTACTTGTGGCAGGTTAGGGTGTTAGGTCTGTGTTGTCAGGGTTGACAGTGGCCTTATGTAGAGTTTAGATTGTGATTTGTATGGGATGGTTTGGATAGGGATGATCCTGCCTCAGGCAGGGGGTTGGATTAGGTGACCTCTGGAGGTCCCTTCCAGCCCTATTTCTCTATGAGTCTGAGTATGAGGGCAGTGGAGGGGGGAGGTAGCTGCTGTGGCTCAGACTCCAGCCCCTACCCTGGTTTGGGGCCATAGTTGCAGCTGCTGCTGGTCCTCCTCCCTGCCTTGCCTCTGCACCCTGCCATCTCACCCCTGCAGCATCTTCCCCTTACCTCTTCCCCCACCCTCCTGCCCCTTCTCTTTCCTCTTGCTTCACAATGGCAAGCTCTGTGCACATTGCAGTCTGAACATGGCCCCCGTCCAGCTCTGTAAGACTGGCACGCAGCCCACATGGCTGCTCTGGGGCTAGGTTGGGGCTATGCTCAGTGCCTCAGGTTAGAGTGGGAATGGAGGCTGAGCCTGGGCGTGGAGCAGGCTGCTTGACGTCTCCATACCACCTGCCCCCCCCACTGCAGTGGTAGGGGGTATGAATTAAGGATGATCCTCCAATAAATGGATTCTGTACATGGAAAATTACAACAAATTTATACATTTTCTATGTATAACGTCTAATTATTAGGGGTAGCCTTAAGTACAGGGTCATCTTAGAGTCAAGTAAATATGGTAATATATTATCTCTTCTACTTGTGATCACACAAACCACTTTCTCCCTCTCATTCTCTCAACTGTAATTAGACAGTTAAATAGATTATCCCTGTGGCAACTGTAGCATATGCATTCAAGGAAATATTCTGTGGGAAAAACATGTTTTTTAATTGCTTCAATGTGATGAGCTATAGAAACATTTGGGAAAAGTGCCAGTACCATGCGACTTGTGAACTCTGTAACTGCCCATTGGATATTTCGAGGTCTGTTGGCAGTCTGCAGAATAGTTTGGGAACAACCTTTTCTCTTATAGTATTAACACTTTAGCCCTTCATTATTATTGCAGTGACGAGCATTCTTTCATACTGTACAGGATGTCCCAAATTATGAAGTTGCAGATGGCTTTTTTGTATAGCCTGATTACCACTAGTTGATGTCTTAGTGTTATATTTGCTTGCCATGGGGGATAGTATGATATGTTTTTGTACATACAGAACTAGAAACCCTTGTTGTAATAGTTTATTTAGAAAGAAAATTTAGGTTTTGGACCAGTTTTATTTTGACGGCTGCAGCAATATGTGATCTCTTGTACCTTTCAGAACAGAGTCGGCGTGATGACTTGGAAGCTCTTGGCCATATGTTCATGTATTTCCTTCGCGGCAGTCTGCCCTGGCAAGGACTGAAGGTATGTGCTAAAAATGTGTTAGCACATTTCACTCTTAAGATTCACCTTGGGCTGAAACTTTCCATTCTTTGTCATAATATGATTTGTTTCTCAAAATGTGAATATACTAAATATACCCTTGAAAATGCTTCATGGGGGGGGTGGGAGGAAAAATCTTGAAGTATCCCTGTAGTGAAAAATGGCCAGAGGCTGAAACTTTGCAAGAATGTGATACTTCTTTTGGGAAGATGGTTTAAGAATATTTGGATTTTGATATGACTAGTCTTTGAATATTCAGAAAGCTATACATATATGTGCATTAAGAAACTTAACTTTATTCTGTAACTGTCCTTGAGGGCTGGATTTGAAATTTTAAGCTTTTCTTCAGTACCGTTTACCTGATCTGAAGTGTGCAATAGTTGATTGGGGAAACTCAAATCATCAGTCTGTAAGCCCCATCAAAGTACTTACAGAGCAAGTCATTAAACTTTAAATACTACAACCTATTTTTCTTTTAAAAACAACCCCCTCCCCCACACACACATATAACCAAACCTCTTATTTGCACACTTCCCACTGCCTTCTCTCACAAACTCTCCCCTTAGCTACCACCTTTGAAGGACTAGGGAAAAGATGTAATTCTTCTGCGTATTCCTCTTGGGAAGTGCAGTCTCCAGCTGTTAGTCCTCCTTTTTTTTTTTTTGACCCATGGATGAAGGAAAGGAGGAGTGTGTGACTATGCAGAGGCAACACCCTAGAAAAATGTTACTAGCAAACCACCTCTTCCTTTTCCAGTTTATTTACTTGGTGCATATTGTATACAAGCACTTTCTCCAGTTGTTGGTGAGTCTTTTGAAGAAAAGGTGGGGGGAAAAAAGTGTAAAGTAGGAAAATTTAATTCAAAGCTACCAGAAATCAACAGGGCAGTTCAAAGACAGTGTTTGAAACCTAGATTTTAAGCTCTTTTGTTTTAAAAAGGGACTAGACTTCAAATTGTCAGTGTGTGCATGGTGATGCATAAGGGGTGCATGTGCACTCCCTGAGACCACCGGTGCACCCCCTGTCAGGTCGTGCACGCCGCTCAGGTGACAGGTGGGGGGGCAGGTGGGAGTGCCGGTGACCCCCTGCAAGTGCTGGCCAGGGAGTGGGAGTGCCACAGCCACTTCCGGGAGCACTGCAGCCGCCTCCTCGCTGGCACAATCAGCCATGGGGGGGCCTCTCCCTGGTTTCTGACTGGTTGCTGGGGTGGCACATGCCCTCCCCCGACTAAATGACTTAATAAAAATGGTGGTGTCTTCCTCTGAACTGCATGTATTTAGTGTCAAATCTGACAGCCGAGTGTAATGCTTTCACTTCTAGTAGTGCAGCACAGCCAGTATTGCTGTAGAAAGTTGGAATTGGCAGTGAACAAAATTGGTAACTGAACTGTAGTTTTGAGGAGAAATCTACCTTCCCTTACATCCATGAAATCCCAGTCAAGATGGTTGGCATTCACATAGTCAGCTAGGGCCATACAGTGGCCCTTCTCAAAAGTGGAGATTTTGAGCCAAAATGAAGCTTTCTTTGTATGGTGGTTCCAGTTTGAATTGACTCTGTTAAGTTAGGACAGTTATTTCCTAAACCAGGAACTTGAGCTTTTTTTTGAAGTAACCCTACTGAGAGACAAATATGGAGCCCTCCTTGCAATATTACTCTATAGAGCAGGTCCAGTTGCAACACTAACTCACCTACATCATATTTGGATATTGTTTTGTGGTGATTTCCTTTGTGTTTGCATAACAGAAGCTGTGTTACTTTGCTGGAGCACTTTTGTCCAGTTTTGGGCCCCTCAATTCAAGAAGGATGTGGACAGTCTGGAGAGAGTCCAGTGCAGAGCAGCAAAAATGATTAGGGACCTGGGAGGCAAGACTTCTGATGAAAGCCTCAAAGAAGTAGGGCTATTAAAGTCTGGAGAAGAGATGACTGAAGGGGATCTGATAATAGTCGTCAGATACCTGAAAGGCAGTTGGAGAGAGGATGGAGAATAGACTTTTCTCTGTGGCTGTAGAGGACAGGACTAGGAGCAGTGGCCTCAAGCTGCAGTAGAGGAAATACAAGTTGGAGAGTAGAAGGAACTTTCTGACTGAGTGGTCAAGCTTTGGAACAGCCCGCCTAGAGAAGTTGGGGAAATCTCCATTCTTGGAGCTTTTCAAGAGCAGGTTAGACAGACACTTGGCTGGCATGGGTTAGTTGGGGATGATCCTGCTTGAGGAGGAGGCTGGACTAGATGACTTTGAGGTTCCTTCCAGCTACTTTCCTATGGTCCTAATGTCAACCATCTTGCAAAGGTTGAAGCTGCAGCACTTCCTCCCACTGGGCTGCAGAGGCGGTTCCTGCCCAGAGTTGGCTGCAGCCCTGCACCCTGCTGTGGGCGCAGAAATCTCCAGGAGCACACTTATTGTGACCTTGTTGGCTGATGTTACAACCCCTTTTAGGAACTGCTGGTTTACACATTCTGTAAATTCACATGGTTGTACCAAAGAAATGACCTGACTTGCATGTTTCTTCTTCTAACAGCTAAAGCCTCTTGAGGCCCCATACTGCTTAAGCGGTATTATGTAAAGCTGCTGAATTTATAGCAGCACAGAAAGAATACTGTTGTCCCAGTACAGCACCAGTACTGCCCACTTCCTGTGCTGCATTGAGGTGGCTGTGCTATTTCTGGTTTGGGGAGGGAAGGCTTGTGAACCAGAATAATGTGGCTGGTTCTGTGCATCAGTTAACAGACTCTACCTTTTCGGTAACGCTTACTGGTGTTTGTGCAGTGATGTATTAACCTTAGTTGTGGTCCTGATTTTGGAGAGGGTGCACTTGAACTGGATATGGCCTATTTAAGATGCCTGCTAGCACTATACTGAAATGGGTTGTCTGTTTTTGAGATAAAACCCCAGCATTTTTTAAAGGTCTTTGGGATGCCAGGATTGTACTTCTCAAATCACAACTTTTGGGAGCTTTAACAACCTCTTCAAGTGCGTGTTTTGAGTAAGGCTCCAAAGAAGTGTTTATTCCGCTACCAGAAGCTGGAGGCTTTAATTTTGGCTTTTGGTGGTTCCTAATCATAAAACAGTAATATTGCATTTGCATTATTTTTCTTACTCCCTTAATTCTTGAACTGGAAGCTTATCAGAAAGAGAAATATGTTGTGGCCCTTGATGCATTATTTATGATGGAAATAAGGAGCCTCAGTGGTGAGGGATGGTGGTGGCAGTGGTTTTTGTTGTCATCATCATCGTCATCATCAGCACTATGTATTTTCTTTCTTTTCCAAAAATGTTTATGCATATGTCTTGCTCAAGAAATATTGAGACTATCAAGTGTTTCTGCTGGGGAGACCTCGTGAAAGACTGGATGCCCAGTGATTTTGTACTGTTAACCTCAGCTAGGAGGAGATGTTTTGTTAAACCCTTTGTACTACTGTTTTTAAGTCTGCAGTTCAAATTGGACTCCGAGGTATGATGATGGTGGGTTTGGTGTAAGGCATTGGTTAGATAAAATGTATTTTGGATAGGCATTCTAAAAACAGTGCTAACTCCTGATTTGAATAATGCTGCCGCCTCTTTTATTTAGGGGTTGGGAAAACTGCAGTTCACTTCTGTCTTCAGATCTTTCTTTCCCACTGTAGTTCTCCAAAGAGCCCTCAGTGACAAAAAGGGCAGTAAAAGCCCAGTTATTGAATGCATGTCAAAATGCAGAGAACATAAAACTTTAGAAATAATGAAGCAACACAAATGTTTAGTTGTTCTTCTGTACTTGACATTAACAGTGATTGTTGTTAAATTTGTTAGTGCTTAATAGGTTGGTATTTGTTTCCTTGCCATCTGAATTTGTAACAATTGCCTTGACAATAAATCAGTGAATTTTCATATGGTGCATTTATTTCTGCACAATACTAGTATTTCAGTCCTTCGTTTTTAGGATCTGTCTGACTTTTGTCATTGTCTGCAATCTCCTTTATATCATTTTGGTATGATCTAGAATACTAAACTTCCTTTTTCTGTCTCAGTGTTAAAATTGATTACTCTCAGAGGCTCAGATGTTCAGCTGTATTCAGCTTAATGAAGAAATGCCAGGTGTATTAAGATATTCATAATACTTTTGTCTGGACATGAGGAAGAGTCGGCAACAGTCACTTAGAGGCTGAATTGCTTTCAAACTGCTTAAGATATTTTGCAAATACAAATCCTGCAAATTCTTTCCCTTGAGAGTGGGCAGAAGGCAGGGCAGGATGGCATCTTAGAGCAGTGGTACTCAACCTTTGTATACTTGAGGCATCTCTCATTAGACTAAAGGCACCTCTCAGACAATGCCAGCTCTTAGTCTTCATTTCTTATATGATAACAAAAAAATAATAGGGTAGTTGTATTGCAAACGACTTGGACCATAACAGATCAGAATGGTTTTGATGCTATGGGTTTCTATTTGAAATCTCTGGGTTTATCTTGTGAATCATGTTTGTACACCTAATGGTGCCAACATTGCAGGATATCCCATGGCATCTCAAGGCACCCCACACTGCCATGGCATGCTGGTTGAGAAGCGCTGCCTTGGACTAACTGGTTCAGAGTGGGGAGGCATGTTGTGATGTAACCGATGGGGCAATAAACTCAAAGGAATGAACAGTTAGGCAGCCAAGTGGTGTTTTGTGTACTACTGTGTAGATGCTTGTTACTTTTGGGAGGAATTGTGAACAGTTTTTTAGCAGCTTTGATTACTAGCTTGCCCCAGTTCAATAGCTATACGCCTGAAGAATGGGTATGTGACGGGAGATCTATGATCTGACTTGAGCATTTCAGTAGTTTAGAATCAATAAGTGAATTGACTTGCTAGATAGAGGAGGGTGGTGATTTCTCCACTGACATAGCTTGACATCTGTCTCTATCCTTAGAAATGCCAGGCTTACTAGTTTGTAAAACATCAGGTAATTTCAGCATGACTTCATTGGGCATGTGCTAAATACATCTATTGGAGAAAACCTGTTCTAGCCCAGAAGGGTTTTGTGCTATGCAGATGAGATGTTAAATGATGAGAAGCTGCCTCAGATGGAAGACCTGTACTTTCCAAGGAAGTGGGGAGGAGTGGTCCTTCTGTCTTCCTCTACTCCTTTTCCTGCAGGCCACAAATGTGTGTATTCTTTGATTTCACTGGAAATAATGTGAAATGTTACTTCTGTTTTCATGTTTTCAGATTTCTGCAGCTGAGACTTGTTTTTCCCTTGGCACTTAAAATCTTAAGGAAAACTTTTTGTGCTGTCAAAGGTAGAAACCTTTAACAGCAGTTGTTCAGAAAAAGAGCATTTTAAATAATTCCTGAGAAACTGCTGGTTCTGAGGAGAGGCCCTGAAATGCAGCCTGAGCATCTTTTGTTACTAAGGTAGTGCCTGAAGTGGCATTCGCTGCTTCCGGAGGGATGTGTTCAGGAAATCATGAGTGCACGCTACTTCATCTTTCCTGACAACCAGCTGTCTAGTCAATGTTGTCTAGACAGCAGAGAAGTGTGAAGTTGGGGACAATTCATTTCAGTGTAAAAAGTTCTGTGAAAACTGAATCTGATGCCTAATGAGGCTAACTGAGCATTTTTACTTTATAGGGCTATGCAGCAGCACTTAATATATTGAGATTAGGGGCTAATATCCCTGTCTTGTAGCTTGTTTTTAAAGTGATGATAAGAGAATGTGTTGGAGAGACTTGAGCATTATACCGTCACACTTAAGCAGCTCTTTCCTTTTAAGTCTTAGTTTGTTTAATGGTATCACTGGATATCCTTTGCTTACAGCAAGAGAGTTGCATTGCTAATACAGAAGGAACTATTCTTCATATTTTGTGTCTTCAAAGGGGGGGGGGAATATCCTCTCCTGATTTTTATGTTCTCAAGATGCCATATACAAAATGCCTTTTCCCTACAGTATCCTGTTGTTGGATTTTTCTCTCAACAGTTATGTTTCCTGTTTGTGCCCCACAGGCTGACACTTTAAAAGAGAGGTATCAGAAGATTGGGGACACAAAGAGAAACACGCCAGTTGAAGTTCTCTGTGAGAACTTTCCAGGTAACTCCCCTGCTGTGATTGTTATGTTGTCTGTGTAACCTGCCCGCTGGGAATTGGACGAACCGTCTGATGATAGCCGTGGACATTTAGACCTGCTCTGTCGGAACGTATTTGAATGCTGTTTCTGTTCCTGTGCTCGGGTAGATGGCAGGTACCTGTCACTGTAACTCAGTGTTACTCTTCAGTCCTTGCTTTACACTAGTTTTCCTTTGACTTTTAGATCAGGAGAGAATTTTACCCCACAGTCAGATTGGTAGGGACTGCAGGGGGTTTTCCTTCTTCCTTGGATCTCCCAAGTATATTGTAACTTTTCACCCTTGACAGTGCTCTTGTACTCCTGCTTTCCCTGTAGCTGATTAGGGTGTCCTTGGGTTTTGAGGCTGTATGCCTCGTAGCTGTGTGACAAGATTGCCTGTGTAATTTTAGAAATAGGTTAGATAAGCGTTTGGATGGGGATGATCCTGCCTCGAGCAGGGGGTTGCATTAGATGACCTCTTGAGGCCCCTTTCAGTCCTACTTTACAATTATACTTTGACATGGCTGCAGAATGCCCTGTGTTGCTGCCTTTCCCCTCCAAAGGGGAATGCAGAGGGCAGGTCCTCCTGGCCTTCTTTCCAGAGTGCACCACTCGTTCACAATGACTGCTTCTGCTCAGTGGGCTTCGGTCTCGTTTGGATCAGATAACTCAGCAGCAGTAAAAGAACTGAGTGCCCTGAGCTAAGAACATAGTTTTGAGGGTAATACCATCACAGTACAACATGGTTGTATTAACTCAGGCTGGTCACGCACAATCTCGCTGCAGCCGAACAATAGCCCACATAGTCTTGCTGGAGAAGAGAAGCCCCAGAGGGTGACTCTCTTTTGACAGAGATTTGCTGGGACTGAGAGGTGTTATTTGGAAGCATTGGAAATCCCAGGGCATTTTCACTTTACTGTCAACACCACAGCTCCCATAGGAACAAGTCTGCTGGCAGATGTCTTCTCACCATGAAGAGTAGCAGGAGGAGGAAGTTACTATTGGCTGAAATAGCAGGAACTTCCCAGCAGCATTTGGATGGCAAATCCACCTTTTCCCAAGGTGGCTCCCTTGTGTCCTCTTCTGTCTTCTCTTTCTAGAGGCCAGAGCTCCTGTGACACATGGTGCCCTGGACTGAGGGGAGCACACAGTGGGAGCTGCTTATTGACAAGGGTAGCATGTGTGGCCCTGGAGCAGCAACAAGAGGCAATTGCATCTTTTTCCCTTATCCCTTTTACCTTGATGAATGTGCTGTTTGAAGCTGGTGTGGATCATTTTAATACTAAACAAGTAGAGGCATTTACGCTTTTCCTAGAGGCAAAACGCCTGAACCATGCTGACGTTACATTGGTACTGCAGTAACACTTAGTGTCAGGCTTTGTGGTAGGCACTGGACAGACAAAACCTTGAAATGGGTAAAATCTCAGCATGAAAGTAAAGGAGGCTAGAGACTGAAGTTACGGATTCTCCTCATAGCTAATTTCTCAGTGCAGATAAAGTTCTGCATAGCTCTGGATTAACAGTTAACTGGGTCTAGTAATCAAAATTATCTGGCATGAAGTAGGTTTGTGAATGTGACTTGAGCCTCTGTTTTGAAGACGGTATGGCTTGTCATGCCTAATAAAACAGTGCCATCTTTCTAGGTACAGTACATTGGCTGGGCTCAAGGAGGGCATATTGACGTTTTCATTACTGCTGCATCGCTTTAGTTTGACAGTCAGGAAGCCCATTAATGTTTCATTAACATTAACAATGCTTTGGCATTGTGTGTGTGTCTGTGTACTGGGCAAGGAACATCTTTCTCTTTGTACTATACGTAGCGCGATGTGGTCCTGCTCTGTGACTGGACCTCCTTGATCCTAATGCAATATAAATATAGAATAAATCTCCCCACCCCTGCCCTGGTAATAGAGCTATTAACCGATTGTGTGCCCGTGGGGCACTTATGGGATAGCTGCAACAGCAGTGCAGTGACTTGGATGAAATACTGCTGAGCTTTGTTTAGGATGCTTGAAGTAATTATGTGCCTATCACCTCATATAGACTTAAAATCCTGTTGGGATTAAAAATGATGAATTTGTTTAAAAATCACAAATTTTAATGAGTATATACAATAGAGTTTATGTACTTGAATTAAAAATGAAGTCCTCCCAGGAGGACAGCATGAGTCTAAAGCAGGTCAGAAACTTCAGTTTCAAATAATTAGTATAGAAAACAATTTAAAATGTTATGATAAAAAAAATAGGTAGGATTGGGTAAGGCAGTCAAGGCACTTTTATGATGTGTTCCTTTGAAAGAAGTCAAATCTAAAGTGGGGTCTGTTTTGGAATAAAAACCTGAACTCATTAAACATTGAAAGACTTTGTAATGGAAGGAATATCTTGCTAGATTTTTGGGGAAAGGTTCGGGCATGCCCTGGAGACTGAAGTGTGGGAACAAACAGTAAAAAGCATGGTATTAGATGGGCAGACTTGGTAAGGTAGTGAGTACTGCTGTGTACTGCCTTGTCAGAGACCTGCGTTTGATATGCAGGTTCATATCTTCAACTTCTGTAAATCATTATGGCTCAGTAGAGCTGTGACAGTTCATACTGGCTGAGCACCTGGCTATGCCTCAGCCCTGCAAAGGGAAAGAGGGGTGAGATTATACGCCATCATTCAACAGATACTGTATCTCTTTTGCATAAGTGAACACTGGGGAGTGGCTCTCTGGGAAGCCCTGTAGGTCTGAAGGAATACAGCTATGATTTATTAGCATATTAAGTGGGAGGAAACAACAAGCTGCTTCATGGCCCCTTTGTTAGTATCAGACTAGCACTGCTCCTTTTCCTTTTGTATGGAGAAGATGTTGCATACATGTTCGAGCAGGTGAGGCTTTTGTGTATATTGATTAATGTAGGGGTGTCAGGCGTATGGTCTGCAGGCCAGATGTGGCTCGTGGAGTTGCTCTTTCTGACCTGCTGGGCTACAAGTAAGGAACTAGAAGTTCGGGGCTGCAGCCACAGAGAGTGCCCTCCTGCATAACCTGGTAGGTCCAAGGGATGTGGTGATTGGTGGCAGTGCAAACATGGACTGATACAACCCCGGTCACCCTGAAGCTGCTTCACCTGTTGCTACCACCACCACTGTGCTTTCCCTGCCTTCACTGCTGTATGTCTTGGGCCAGGGCCAGAGCAGCGGCCATGTGCTGCAGGGCATAGTGTGTATTCAGCTCAAAGCATAAGGTGAGTTTGATATCCCTGGTTTAACTTGTGTATGTACTCTGCCCCAAGCAGTGATTCTGTTCAAGATGCACTTCCTGTCATTACTGCTGAAGACTGGAGAGCCAAATTTGCCCGCTGTTCTGGGGAGGCCATATGGAGGTTCTTGAGGGCCGAACTCCTCCAAAAGTTTGTCATCCTCATTTTACACGACAAGATTGTTTAATCCACACATACACCTGATGTGGGTAGAAAGTGATTTTGTGTGCTGCTTTTTGTTGTTATCTGGACAAGGATATTGATGCTGTTTCTTTCCCCTTTCCTCCCCTCCTTTTTCAACAGAGGAGATGGCTACATACCTTCGTTATGTCAGGCGATTAGACTTCTTTGAAAGACCGGACTACGATTATTTACGAAACATCTTCACAGACCTATTTGAAAAGAAAGGCTACACATTTGATTATGCCTATGACTGGGTTGGCAGGCCAATTGTAAGTGTTGCTTGCAAAAAAAAACCCACCCGTATTCTGTTTTTCCAAGAAAATAGCTCTCTGCATTCTTGGCTGCACTTGCTGCAGTTTACTCCTTTCACACTAGTGGTAGGTACAGCAAGTAACCTGTGCATCCCGGCTTAACAGTTCAGTCTGTAGGTAAAATGGTCTCTTTACCAATGCATCACATGGATTGCAGTTTTACTGAATTGTTCCTTGGATTATTCAAAATGACCATGATTTCCCAAGTAGTTAAGATTAAATATTCAAGCCAACAGTCTGGATGATGATCTGAGCGATGTACTGTAGATGGGTAATGAAACACCTCAGGCTATGGATGTACAATTTACTACATCCCCCTACCAGGTGGCTATTTCATTGTGCAGTAGCTGTTCAATAACCACCAGTCTGTGTGCTGTTTATTCCATGGTAAATAGAAAATAAAGCAAGTTGGTATCTTACCTTTCATCTACTGATGGGTAATAATGTGCATATGGGAACTTTAAAGTGGAGCAGCTGACACAATGTTATCCTACACCTTGTGTTAAGGTGTTTTTGGGCTGTACCTCTGTGTAGTGAGGTGACTTTCTTTAAGAAATCGAATAGGCTCACTATCCCTGTCATCAGCATATTGTCAGGAAAAACTAGGCATAATAATAAGTGTTGGGAATGTTCTTCATCTCTTGGAGCTGATTAAGATCTTTCCCCTTCCTGATTCCCTTTTAACTCCTCCCTCCTTAATTTTGTGTCAATATTCATAGGTTCTGTGCAATGCCTGGGTACCACCTGAATAATGCAGAGCACATTATTCTCTTGTGCGTGTGTGCTCTCTCATGCTGACCATGCTGCAGTGAGGCAGTCTCACATGATTTTTATCCATATGGCAGTGCAGGTCACTACCAGGGGAACAGCTGGCATATTTAACACAATGATGTGCATATTAAAATGATCTATAGAAGCTTGTGCTGTGGCAGCACTTCATTGTACATGAAGTCACAAATAATTACTGTATCTTAGATTGTTTGGCAAATCTGGTTTTCAAATTTAATATTGCCAGCAAAATCCTTCTCAATCAGGCCTGGATACATTTAGGGTTCCATCCCTCATGGCTTGTTTGTCCCTTGACAATCTAACTAGTTACATCTACCCATGTGTTAGCAATAATGAGATTACATGAACCCTACTAAAAAGCTGCAAATGCTAATAAGCTTTAGCAACAAAAAAATCTTTCCCATTCATAGAACAGTGAGAAATCCTAGTTTAGAAGTAAATCCACCTGACTGGGCCAGAGAGAGCCTTGCCCACTCTTTCATAGTGCTGTTGTGATCAGAGTCCTAGGGGAAAGAGTGAAATGCGGACCACTCATGGCTTGGATCTGTTAAATCCTGCATTTCTGATCTCTCTTGCATTGATGCTATCAAGTCTCCCTTGCTCAAAATCATCACTTAGCAGCTGAAACCTAGTGAGTGGTCAGGCAATATCTAACTGAACTTTGCGACCTCTGTTCCTGATACATTGCTTTTAAATTTTGGCGCAAAGAAGCGTTACCAAGAGACCTCCTGTGCCCTGTCAGGAAATCTGAGACGTGCATCTATACAAAAGTCACTCTAGTATTTGTCCAAGCAAAGGGCATTGTGTGCCCAAGGCAAGTAGCCCGTCCCTTACTCTGTGGTGTCATTCTGCTCCAGTTATTTTCTTGCTAATATAACATGTTTCTTATGTTTACTTAGCACCAACCAGTAGCTTCCTTTCAAAAGGATTCTTTTTTCCCTTATAAATCACTTTCCCCCCTCATTTACCTTTCTGTTACCAAAGCAACTGGAAGAAAGCCTGTTTCAAGGCAAACTTTCTATCACATACTCCTTATCAACACACCAGTGGTTGCTATGGAGATTATGATGTTACAGGCAAGGATTATGATTTTAGGTGGGAACAGAGCAGATGAAACCTTAATTAACACATCCTGTTTCTATGCTAATGTAATTTTAAAAATAGGAAGACTGTGAGATCTGGAGAAAACCCTATACAATTCTATCCTTGTATGCAAGTCTGTTTATCATATTTAGGTCAAATGTAACCTTTCTGTGAGGGTTAATGTGCATAACAGTTTCCAGTTTTCCATGAGATGTTAACAGGTCTAGTGTCCAGCAAGCCCTTGAGTCCCCTAGAAATTTCACAGCATCTCCCTTGGTGTTAATGCCATATTTTTTACCTCAATTTTCCTGGTTTTACACAGCATGTGAGCTAATATTGTGGTAAAGACTATGCAGGCCTGGGGAGGGGAGGGGAGTCTAACCACAGCATTGGTTTCAGTGTACAACGGGCACTTTATTTTCCAGCCTACTCCAGTGGGGTCTGTTCATGTAGATTCTGGAGCATCTGCAATAACCCGAGACAGCCATGTACATAGGGATCGACCATCGCAGCAGCAGGCTCTTCGAAATCAGGTGTGTCACTTACTACTACTACTACTACTACTACTACTACTACTAATACTACTACTACTAATACTACTAATGTTGTTGCTGTTGAATGTTCCTCTTTAGTGCTTGTCCCAGCCTGTTTATTCCACTCTCTGTCTACCTACTGGATGTCTGGAGACCCTAGGGGTTGACACCTATTCCATCTCTAGCAAATACATTTCCTTTTAAGTCTAGGAG